CCAGTACCAGTGCTCGTGCCAATGCAAGTACTCGTGCCAGTAGTGGTAGTAGCTCGAGTACAGTACTAGTACCACTACTCTGGCACTAGCTAGCACTAGTTCTAGCACGTGTACGACTTGTACGAGTAGCAGTAATAGTAGTGGTTGCAGTCGTAGTCCTCATCGTCACAGTATTCGGAGCAGGAGAATTAGGACCAGAACGGGCGAAACATCACGTGCAGAAGCGATTACACCTAGCAGCGCTGGCCATAGCAGTGGCAACCGAAAGAGCACTACTACTGCTGGTGGTGCTTCTACTGCTACTACTACTACTGCTACTACTACTACCCCCACTACTACTACTACTACTACTACTACTACGACTACTACTACTACGACGACGACGACACTACGACTACGACTACGACTACTACTACTACTACTACGACGACGACTACTACTACTCTGCTCCTGTTCCTACTCCTCCCGCTGCTGGTGTTGCTGCTGCTGCCGCCGCTGTCATCACTACTAGATTAAGATAGCCATCCTGAAAGGCAGCACTGGCACCTTGCCCCGGGTAGCATTGCTATCTAGCAGAAGTACCATGCTGCATTCTTTCGCAGAATGCCTTTTGGGTGTATCGGAAGCTTCGTCAAAGGCCGTGACATTTGTGCATAAATTTGTCCAGGATGCTTCTTTGCAATACGCCTGCAAGCAAGAACACGACTCCCAAATGCCCGCGCTCCTTTCCATGCCTTCTGATTCCGGGTGTGACGGCTCTGTGAACATCGTGACGGCAGGCTAGTGGTAATCAGCACCCATAGGCTTCGGCATTCACGAGGCCACTCAGGTTCGCAACAGCACCCCAATTATCTCTGACATGTCGAGTTATTCCAAGCTGTCCTAAATTTCCACTACGCCGAACCGAATCCGGAAGCCTTAATCTTAAACTCAAGACTGTGAAGATAGCCATCCAGGCCCTTGTCGGAGACTACAAGGCTGGGCTCCGGGCATTTGATAAAGCGGATGAACTGTGATGTATGTACTTGTGTATGTTAAAGGTAGGTATGTGTGTATGTGTTTACGCATGCATATGTGCATATGTGTAAAGTCATGTATAGTCTCACGCACTGTAGTGCAATGTAGTGGTGTGTAATGTAGTGTAGTGTAATGTACAAGGCAATATAGTCTAACGTAATGCACCGTAATGGAATGTAACGCAGGGCAAATTTGCATGTATGCATACACGTATGTTAAGCACGTCAGCTGCGTTTGACGACAACTGAGCGTGGCCCTCCTTGCAAGAAGTGTCCCGCTGTTTGATTCCCAGTGTGCTTTAGATCCTTTGAGTTGCACAGTGGCAAAAGGGGGGCACAGGGCTTAGCAGTAGAGGTTCGGGGTTGAGCGGAAGGTCGCAGGTAGTGTGATGCAGGGATCAGGCTTGAGTTCGGGATACAGGCAGGGCGAGGGCAGGTGAGACAAACCTTCTTATTGCTTGCTGAAACAAGTAGCCTTGTTTACATGTCGGGAGACAACAGCTGCCAAGAGACTAGACACTGAAAGTGCAGGGTGGGCACTGGCCCCGAGTTCGTTACGGGAAACTCGCTGTCGAGGAAGCCCTCCACGAGGGCACACCAAACAGTTCACCCAGTCTGGTCCGTGTGACCGCCGGGCAGCCGAGCCCCTCCCACCAAGAGGGTGGAAGGGGAAGCGCCTCGGGGCGTCAGGAATGCTGGCGCCTGAAGCCCCAAGCACAGCAAAGAGAAACAAAGATAAAGAGAGAGAGAGCGAGAGTGAGACTACCCGACTTTCGAACTAGAATAGGGGGACGGAACACTGCTGCTGCTTTTCACACGCCTTCAAACGCCCCACAACAAGGGGGGCCTCTAAAGGCCAGGGGGTTTAACAGACCCTCTATGCCCGGAGGAAGAAGAGATATGATGTATGTGAGAGTGTGTGTGTGTGTATATATATATATATGGTAACCCCCCCCTCAGTTATCTACCGTGTTCGTGGGTTTTTGGAGCCCACTAGGGAGGGCCCTCCTTACTTCAGGGTTTAGGAGCAGTAGTGCTGTTGTCGTTCCTTGCTAGTGTCGTCATTGTTGTTTTGTATTGCTGTCGTCACAAATCCACCCAAACACAACTCTGCACATGTCTGTATGTATCTATTGTAGCCCCGTAATATATATATATATATGTGTGTGTGTGTGTGTGCAATACCAAAACACAACAAGAATACCAGCCCGCGCACGAGTTCACAGCACTGTTGCATGTATCTAGGGCACTGAGAAAGGAATCCGAGCATTGAGCTTCAATCCCGGGGATTGAAGTTCAATGCTTCGGACTTGCCCTGCCCATGTTAAGCATGGCCGACCGCGTGCCAGCATGATAGCCTACCCTTCCAGCGTTGCATGCAAATCAAATCCACGATGAACAATGGTAATTAGCATTGTTTCCTGTGGCTTGCTAACTGAAGTCCATTGGACCCAATAGTATGCCTAGTAACAATAGACCTAAGAATGACAGGGCTTTTCATATGCACCCCACCATGAGTGCCGGCGTGATAACCTATCCTTTTAGGGCTGCATGCAAGTCAAAACCACGATGCTGCAGCATGTAGTGTTGGTTTCCGTGTGTTGCTCACTGAAACCTATAGGAAATGTCTGAAGATAAACAGTGCTGCTGGCCCGTAAAATAATTCCTACTTGGTAGAAGCAATAATCGTCGCAACAGCAGTATGGATGTTGAAGCCTTGTTGGGGCTCCTCATATCTGACTGAGCTATGAATTCCAACAGCAACCCCAAGGTCTCTTCTATTGTCAACTACGGTTCAGCTTAGTATTATAATTATTACACTGGCCGAAGTGACAACCCTCACAATGGCCCCAACAAAGCTTTTTCAACCCTGAAGTACTGCCAGCCGACCTAACATGAGCGTTTTCTAACTACTCATTTTAACCGTCATAGCAGTATTCACCACTCATGCGCATATACACCGTGATTGCATTATTCACTACAGCCTACCCTTATTCATTCCCCAAGCTCAGCATCGGCCGCCGGGTTAGCTCCAACGGCAAGTCTAATATTTAGGTGCACACTAGAGATCGAACTCCAATAGGAACCTTAAGAACCA